GGGGGGGTATATAAAGGCGGTGGTGGTGGTCTCACACTGGGGGCACTGCCAGCTGGGGTGACTCCCCGCCATACAGGGCTGGCACCAGGGAGCTTCCCCAGCCCTGGCGTGTTACACAGGGCTGGTGTGTGCGATGGGGTGGCGTGTTACGCAGGGCTGGCGTGTGCAGTAGGGTTGGTGGGTGCGGTGGGATACCAATGCAGTAAGAAGCAATGGGGCCTGGTGTGCATCTCAGCCGGGCTCCCTCCCCTTGTACCTGCCGCTGTCACCAGCATTCCCCGCTGCCCCCAGTTACCCAGTGTCTTTCTCATACTGGGAACCAGTGCCCTCCTCCAGCTGGGAGCTGCCAGCCCCCCTCCCCTGGCATCTGCCCAGCCCAGGGCAAGGTCCGGCTGTGCCAAGGGGAGCCCTGGATCCCCAAGCAAGTGCCTCCCTTGCAATGGACCCCAGGGAGAGGGGGTCCTTGCTGCCCCCTGCTGGTGGCTTAGCGCTGCTCTGGTCTATGTCATAGCATCTCTACTGCTGATGAGCAGTCTCAAGCTCTAGCACTGTTGTGGGGAGGGGGAGTCTGCTGTGGTGCCAACCATGGGGGGGTGGATCTTGGGGGGGACAGGCTAGGGAGGGGGCAGGGTGATTGCCCCTGCTCATGGATGGGGAAACTGAGGCACAGGCTTTGCCTCAAGTCCCAGCAGCAGAGGAAGGAGGGGAACCCAGGAGCCCTCCTCAGGGCTCCTCAGCTTTTTCTGGAAGGACCTGTTGTGATCCCCACATGGGGAAACTGAGGCACGGGGCCAGATGACATCCCCAGGTCACCCCGTCGGACTCTGACGAGGCTGAGGGGCCGAGTCCAGGTTCCCCCGCCCTGGATGAGGGCTCTAACCATTGGGCACCTTGCTGCCTCCCAGAATCCTTTGCACCATTGCTTGCAGGGGGCAATATTGCTTAGGAGAGGGTTTTTTTCTCCTTTACTGAGAGCTGCTCTCTGGACTCCTGTGTCCCTTCCACCTTGGAGAGGAGGGTGTGGCCCAGGGGCTGGAGCAGGGCACTGTGCCGTCGGCTCCTGGGTTTTCTTTCCAGCTCAGAAAGAGGAGTAGGAGGGAGAGGCCGAAGGCTTGGGGACTCCTGGGTTCTCTCGGAGGAAGGGGGTGCGCCGGCTTCTCCTTTCCCAGGCTTTCCAGCCGCCAACTCCCTGGTGCCTCCATTTCCCCATCTGAGCAGTGGGCGCTAGTGCCCTGCCTTTGCCCCAGGAGAGCCAGGAGCAGCGTGGGACATGGCTGCCAAGTGCCAGAGCCCTGCGGAGGGGCTAGGCGGCCTGCCATGGGCTGGGGGAAGCCTGCCGGGGTCTGGCATCCTCATGCTTCAGGGCTCCGACTGGTCCACGGCAGAGGGTCAGGAAGGAGCAGGCTGCAGGGACTCATCTGCCTGGCAGAGCGAGGGGCTGGGCTGGCCCAGATGGGCTCCAGGCCCCTGGCTTCCTCCATCCCATGTCAGGGGGAGGGGGCATTACCCCCGCCTCCTCCCTCCCTGGAAGCTGAGACCCAGAGTCGAGGAGCAGCATGGGGCATTGGCCAGGGAGCCCAGGAGTCCTGGCTCCCGGTGCCGCCCATCAAGCACTGCCAGAACCTGGGCCGGATCCTGGGAGATCCCCCCCGCCCCCTTCCCTGTCCCCCCAAGGCCTTGTCATTGGTCTGGCACCTTGTCTGGACTAGTCTGGACTGGAGCCCTGTCCCTCCAGGGCTGCCGACTCTGCTTCGCCCACGCCTCAGTTTCCCCACATTAATGGGTGCCTTCCCTTGGTGGATCCTGAGATCGCCGAGGCAGGCGGGGCTGATGGCAGCCTGTCACTGGGGTCAGAAGCTGCCCAGCTCCACCACTGACCACCCCTGCATGGCCGTGGGCCTGTCACTTAACTCCCCTCTCCACCCTGGCCTCCCTCCTTGTGCTGGGGAGAGCGGCACCCCCGAGTGACGATGGGGCTGGGCTGAGCATTGCCTGTGGGCTGGGGGCAGGGGACTTGCTTTGCTACAGAGACAAAATGTGGCCTGCCCGGATGCCTGGGTTCTCCGGCAGCCCCACTCCAGGCCCCTCTGTGGCCGGGGCAGTTGTCTCCCCCGGCACTGGCCTGGGCTGGCTCCCCTTCCCCAGCCAGCCCTTTCCTGGATGGCTGTGCTCTCATGTGGGGCTTTTCACCCCCTAATCCCCCCAGGAGGCAGCCTCTTGGTTGGGGGGTGGGAGCCGGGGTCCAGGGGGGCAAAGAGACTTGCCAGGGTCCATGAGTGAGTCAGGGGCAGAGCTGGGAGTCTGCTATCCCTCCCCTCCCCTGCACACAGACGCCTCTTGGGACTGCTCGGATCCAGCAGGGATGTGCTGGGGGGGTGGATCTTTAAGGGGGGGCTGTGCCTTGCATTTGGGGGCTGGGCTAGGCGCTGACTCATCTCCCCCGCCGCGATCACTGAGCCCGTGGAAATTGGGCTGGCGTTATCTGCCTTGGCCAGGGGCCCCCCAGGCTCCGCGCTGCCACAAAGGGGCTTAGCCAGCATTAAGCCCCCATGAAAGACTTGGAAGGGGTTTAGGGATGGGGGTGGGGGGGAGCCTGCCCCAGCCTAGGTGGGGGGGTGCTGGGTTTCGTGGGAGGTCTCTGAGCTCTGGGCCAGCTCAGGCCGCACTGCGGCACGGCGCCCGCCCCGCCCCGCCCCTGCCCGCGGCATTTGCTGCAGCCGTCCCCCCACCAATATCCTGTCCCCCCCAGCTCCCCCCAGTATGGGCTCTGGTCCCCTCCGGGCTGGAGACGATTATCCCGGTGCTGTGGGGAGCTGGCGCCTGGGGAGCAAGGGGCTGGGCTGAGCCCCAGCAAACTCGGTACAGGGGTTTGACTGTGAGGGAAGCTCACATGGGGTGTGTAGGAGGTGTGCAAGGGGGCGTGGGTGTATGAAGGGGGCTGGTGCGTGCACGTTCGTGGGGGGCTGGAGTGTGCGTGCATGTACAGGCCGAGCTCGCGCGTGTGTGTGTGTGCAGGCTGAATGTACACACAGAGGTGTGTGTGTACATGCATAGGCTGAGTGTGCGCGTGTATGTGTGTGTATACGTGTGTAGGCTGAGCATGCATGTGTGCGTGGGTGTGTATGTGCCGGCCAAGCGTGTGCACACGGGCGTGTATGCATGTGTGCGTGCACTGAGCAGATTTGGCAGGATCCGGCCTCTGGGGCGCTCAGTCCGCACGGCCTTGACAGCAGCTGCCACGTCGATGCTCCCGCACGTCCATCACCGGCGCCTGCCTGGGGGTGGCATCGGGAGCCGGAGCAGGGACTCATCCTACCACACAGAGGGCATGGAGCCTGGCACGGGGCTGGGGTCTGTGCCCCAAAGCCGGGTATGGGGGTGGGGGCACGGGGGCTATAACCCCTGGCCAGAGCCCTCTGCTCTGAGGCTGCTTTGAAGCAGCCTGGAGGCTGCTCTGCTTTCCCCTGGGGAAGCAGGCAGGGGCTCGGCCTCTCCATTTTGGGGGGCCCAAAAACCCCTCAGAGCCCCCAAGCAACTGGTCCTGCCCCTGGCCCTCTGGCCTGGAGCCTGCCCCCCTCCCCACCGCGTGGCCTGTCACCCAGTATCAGGCTGACGCACAGTCCTGTGACCGCAGTGCCAAGGGAAATGGAAGAAGGGATAAAAATAGCCTCAGTTGCTTCGTGGGAGATCTGCCTCCCAGCCCCCCCTGGCCTCCCAGTGTCCCGTCTGCTCTGAGCTTTGAGGGTGTCCGGTGCCAGGGGCTCTGTGCTGAGCTGGGAGGCGCTTGCAGGGAGGGAGCAGGTCCCGGCTGCTCCGGGCAGGGCTGGGGGGGAGAATCGGTCTAGTCCTAGGCTGGGGTCCTGGGAGCAGAGCCCCGGGAGAGAGAGATGGGAGCCCCTGCTGCCCCCAGGAGCTCCAGCCCCACCTGCCCCAGTGCACGGCAGGACAGGGTGGGGGCTTGTCACCAGCAGGGGAAGGGGTCCTTTAAAGGAGCCCAAAGACCCCCCTGCCCCTGGTCCAATTGCTGCAGTCATGAGAGACCCCCCCAAGGGATGTGACCAAGGCTGAGCGGTTAGCAGTGGCAGAGCTGTTGCCGGTGCCTCAACCACAGAGGGGAGGAAGGGATCCCAGCGGCCTGGGGGCTTTCCCCAGAGGGAGCTCATTCCCCTGGGATGCCTGGCTCTGGGTGGGGTCATGGGAGCCATGGGGGATGGGGGCAGCCCCGCGTCCTGCCCCTGCCCCTACCAGCCTGGCTGGCAGGGCCCAGCGGGGACAAGGGCCATCTGTCCTCCCTCCAGACTGGCGTTGCCCTGAGCCACCTGGGAGAGGTCTCCGGGGCGAGCCTGACACCTGGGTCCTCCTCCAGTGCCCAGGCTCTCCGGACGCTTGGGTCCCTCCCTGATGCCCTGCTTCTCTCGTCCCCTCGCAGGACTCATTGTGTACCTGGGCATGATGGTGGGTGCCTTCCTGTGGGGCGGCCTGGCCGACCGCCTGGGGCGCCGCCAATGCCTGCTCATGGCCCTGTCTGTCAACAGCGTCTTCGCCTTCTTCTCCTCCTTCGTGCAGGGCTACGGCACCTTCCTCTTCTGCCGCCTGCTCTCGGGTGTGGGGTAAGGGGGCTGCGGCATGGAGAGGCCTGACCCTGGGCTTGGGGGGCAAGGGGCCAAGCTGGGGGTTTATGAAGGCTGGCGGCTCCTGGGTTTCGATGCCTGGCACTGCAGAGCCTGGGGATGCCCTGGCTGCTCCACTTGGGGGCACCTGGAAGCTGCTGGTAAGGGAGGGGATTAGGGGCAGGGGGGAGCCCAGCTGGGAGGAAGGAGGCTGGGGGCTGCAATTGCTGATCTCTGCTATGGGTGGGGGTCAGCCTGTGGGACTGAAGAGCCTGGGGCACAGGGGATCACAGCCCCCTTGGGAGATCCCAGTGTGGGTCCATCTCCCTGGGTGTGGGATGGGGTGTCAGATGGTACCTGGGGAGCCAGGCCGCTTGTCCTGCCATATCCATGCCTGGCATCCGGGCTGCCCCCACCCCATCAGTGCGGCTGGCTGCAGCCTTCGCCGGTTCCTTCCTGAACCCCAAGCCTGGGCCCTGGAGCATGCGGCTGGCCCAGGCCCCCGGCCGCCCTGACCTCCCCGTCCCTGCTCCCCCAGCATCGGCGGCTCCATCCCCATCGTCTTCTCCTTCTTCTCGGAGTTCCTGGCGCAGGAGAAGCGCGGCGAGCACCTCAGCTGGCTCTGCATGTTCTGGATGATCGGGGGCATCTACGCCTCGGCCATGGCCTGGGCCATCATCCCGCACTACGGTAGGAGCCTGGCCCAGCCCAGCACGCTTGGGGGCTGCTGCAAGCTTCCCCTCCAGGGCACTGCCAAGGTCTTCCCCTTCCCTTGGTTAGACCTGGCTAGAGATTCCCCACCCCCTCCCTGGCTGCTTTTGAGGGGAAAGTGGCTCTTTCAGCTGATTTGGGGGCATCTCTGCATCCCCCTAATTCAGGCACCCTTGGATTCCATCTCCCATGATGCACCATGACTGTCTAGGCTGCAATGCATGCTAGGAGATCCCCCCCAAAAAACCAGGGAGCATGGGGGGGGTTGAAATTAACCCCCTGCTTCCTGGGCCTGGCCAGTCCTGTCCTCTCTGCTAGACCCAGGGGCTTTAGGCTCCGGCAATCCCGATATAGTGCGTTTGTCAGGTCTCGGGCCCTGGAGGAGCCCTTAGTGGGGGAGGCTGGGGGGAGAAGGGGGTCCGGCTCTCACCCCCCTGCTCCCACAGGCTGGAGCTTCCAGATGGGCTCGGCATATCAGTTCCACAGCTGGCGTGTCTTCGTACTGGTCTGCGCCTTTCCCTCCGTCTTCGCCATCGGGGCGCTCACCACCATGCCTGAGAGCCCCCGCTTCTTCCTGGAGGTACCACGGGGCGGGCTGGGGCGGGCAGGGAGATGCCCCTCGGAGAGCACAAGATGGGGGAGAAGTTGGCACCTTCCGCTTGCCGGTCACGGCTGGTGGGACGGAGGGCAGGGAGCTGGTACAAGCTGGCAGGGGCTGAGGAGGGGGCAGGGCAGGGCCAGTCTGGATGCCCCAGGAGGGTGCAATGAGAGCTGTGCCAGGAGCTGGTGGCATGGGGGACTCTCTTCCTTAGGGTGCCTGCACCCCATGGTGGGGGGGGCGTCCCGGTGTTGCTGCCCCCCACCCCCGCAGGCTGCCCGTGCTCAGGCCACCCGGTGTCTTGCAGAACGGGAAGCACGACGAAGCCTGGATGGTGCTGAAGCAGGTGCACGACACCAACATGAGAGCCAAGGGCCACCCCGAGCGGGTCTTCTCGGTGAGGTTGGGGGGCTGGGGAGCCAGCCCAGGGAGATGGGATGGGGCTGGGCTGGGCTGGGTGGGAGGGCAAGGGAAACTGAGGCACGGGGCAACAAAGTGACTTGACCAAGGCCACTCAGGGAGTCAGTGGCAGAGGCAGGAACCCAGTTGCAAAGCTGTGGGTCTCCCTCCTGCCTCTGCCCCCAGTGCCCACATGGCCCTTCCCTCCGCGCCCCATCTGACCCCTCCCGCCCTGCAGGTGACCCACATCAAGACCATCAAGCAGGAGGATGAGCTCATCGAGATCCAGTCGGACACGGGCACCTGGTACCGGCGCTGGCTTGTGCGGGTCCTCAACCTCTCCCAGCAGGTCAGAGGGCACCCGTGGATGGGAGACGGGGGATCCAGGCCCCATTGTGGCCCCAGGGCCAGATTCACTGATTCTCCCTGTCCCTCTTTCGCCGCCCCCAGGTCTGGAGCAACTTCCTGGCGTGCTTTGCGCCCGAGTACCGGCGCGTCACCCTCATGATGATGGCCGTGTGGTTCACCATGTCCTTCAGGTGGGCTGGCTGTAGGGCTGTGCGAAATTTTGCCAGCAGTTTCGTTTCGACTCGTTTTGAGCTCGAAACAGCGAAATCAAAACGAAACAGAGAGCTTTGAAACAGCCTTGAAACCAAATGAGGCAAGTTGAAACGTTTCGAAAATTTCGAAACGTTTCGAAGCTCAAGCTGGGCTTGCCTGCAGGGAAGCAGAAACTAAAGT